GTTAGGTACAGCTCCTCTCCCCCCTCCCTAACATCAGTCTCGGCTGCATCATTGCATTCCTGAGCTTTCTGAGCAGGATCTGATCTCAGGTACCCCTGCTGGGACCCAGCGAGCTGCCCCAGTAATAGTAATGGTGATACAGGGTGCAGACAGAGTTCACGGATTGCGTGCGCAGGGCTTAAATCACGGCTCACTGTAGACAGTAAATGACAACGTTTTAATGAAGACCCTCTGTGTCCGCCTACTGTCCAGGTATAACCGGTTCACCAGAGACAGGTGCCTGCGGTCTCCAACTGACTTCTAGAGACTTATATTCTCTTTTAAAAGATTTATTTATTTATTATTTGTTTTTATTTGTGTGTGTGAGAGAGAGAGGGAGAGAGGGAGATCAAGAGAGAGAGAGAGAGAGAGGGAGAGCAAGAGAGAGAGAGAGAGAGGGAGGGAGAGCAAGAGAGAGAGAGAGAGAGAGAGAGAGAGAGAGAGAGAAAGCGCGCCCGGGCAAGCAGGGGGAGCAGGGGAGAGAGAATCAGGCTCCCTGAGCAAGGCTCACCCAGCAGGCAGCCTGACACTGGATGGGGCTGGATCCCAGCACCCCTAGATCATGACCTGAGCCAAGGCAGATGCTTAACTGATGGAACCCCCCGGGGCCCCTATTTATATTCTTTTCTTAGAAACAATTTAGAATAATTTAAGTTTATTACTTCTTTTATTACATGACAGGTGGCAGTATGTTCAAAGGATTTTGAGCTCCTCCATACTGAAGGGAATTAGGGAGTTTTTCTCCTTGATTGCCGATGAAATAATGGAATTTACACAGTAAATTTTGGCAAAGTTTGTTTGGAATTCCTGACCACTAGCCTTCCCCTCTGAGCTGAGTTCGGGCCCGTCTTTCTCCTCCCTGGGCTAACCCTCGCCTCCAGTGTCCTGCCTCTGACGCCCGGGCCTGCCCTTGACCGCAGGAACCAGAGCTCCTCTTCGTACACCTTCCACAGCCTGTGCTCAGCACCAGGTGCTGGCCAGTGAGTCTCAGCCTGCCGTGTGGACATCCAGACCGGGTCTTCATCGCACACTCACACTCTTCCTTCCCCAAACAACGCACCATCACCTGCCTGGAACCCGCTCCCCCGCGTCTGCTGCTGATGCGAGCTCGGTTCCCTTCCTCAGTTTCCCCCACCAGCAGCTCTTGTCTCTGCCCTGCCTAACGTCCACCTTTGGTCATTTCCTTCCATTTCCTTTCATGTGTCCTGACTTTGACAGCTCGGATCCCACACTTGCGGGCCTGGGCCCTACTTCCCGGCCCCTTCTATCACTCGTGTTCACCTTCATGTCTGGAATGAGCTTGATTTCTGATTTAATGGTTTTCCTCAAGGCCAATCTCAGAAGCCAGCTTGTCATTAAGTCTTTTCTTGACATCAGGAAATAGATGGGATTTCCAACAAACTGTCTTATTTTATATTACGAAACTCTGTGAGGTAGGTGACCGCTTCACAGCTCAGGGTTGAAGCTTAGCGAGGTCTAGAGGCTTTGAGAACGAACCAGCTAGAAATCCTGGGCGTTGGGAAGCCTCATGAATGCAAAGGTGCGCTGGTGAATGCTTAAGAACTCGCTCCCTTAAAAAAAAAAAAAAAAAAAAAAAGCCCTTATTTGTAGGGTTTGCTCATCTCCACAGAGTTTCCTATCGTACGGGATTTCTAGCTGCACATGCGGTATCCTGGGAGTTTCTGGCTGGCACGAGGAGTTTCTACACCACACCCTAGGCTGAGAGTTGGCTGACTTGGACCTGTCATCTTCTTCCCTCAGCACCCTGATATCATCAAAAAAAACAAACAAACCTGACTCCAGAATCTTTCAAATGACCGTTGCACCCATCGCTGTCTGATGCTAGCGAGATGGCCCAAGACAGTGTCCCCCTCCCACGTGCCCTCCCCCCACTTTGTCCTACCAGCACAGCTGCTGTGCCCCGCGATCGCGGACAGCCCTCATTCCGTGGCTGCAGCCCCTTGCTGCCACATGGCGGGTAGACAATCTAGTTCCAGAGCCCCATCCCTGGGGAATGAGTCTGGACCAACCGTCTTGGTTCGAGAGCCTAGAAGCAGACCATGAGACAAGGATTTGAATGTGAACAGTGTATTTCAGGGGGAAGCCTGGGAAACGGGACGGGGAGCGGGGCAACAGGACAGGGCAGGTAGGAAACGGATAAAGGCTGTGCTGTCCAGCACTGGAGCTCAGACCTGAACCACGGAGGCTAGTGTGGAAACTTGTCCCACTGGGGAGCAAGCTGGGGGGGGCCTCACGCACTCACGGCCAGAGGTGCTCTCAGGAGAGAGTGTTTCCCTGGGCCTTCAGGCCTTTTCCGAACACAGCCATAGCAGCCTCCTGTAGCTAGAAAAGCCAGCAGGCAAATCATCTCTGGTGTTGGCAGGTGGAGGTGGGCCCTGGGTGCAGGAAATGTTTATTTCGAAGGCGTATAGGCTTTGCCTCACAGACCTGCTATGCCCCTAATGTTGGGAATGCTGGGATTGTTTTTCAGTCAATCAGGGAAGAAAATTTGAGAGATGTTAATTAAGGAAAGAATGTACATTCTTGACAGCATAAAAATAAGAATCAAACTGACAGCATTAGGGACAGTGGGAAGGGCATGGTGCAGGGAGAGGAAAGACACCAATGTGCTAATTTCCTCCCCTCCCATAGCAGGGACCCAACAGGCGATGCGTGGAATGGATGAATGATGATGTAGATGGACAATTTCAAGTCGCAAAATCCTCACCAGTAAAATTAACAGTAACATAATTTTAAGAAATGAAAGTTAGATGATACATTTTCATTCTTTGGAAGGCACCATTCAGGGTTGATGAACGAAGATGTGGGAGTTCAGCGTTCAGAGTTATAATGAAAAGAAGCAGAAGAATGAAAACAAACTTAATGGTGGGTGGGTCTAGAGTGTGGGACCAGGGGAGGGATACGTGAGGGGGAAAGATGGGGACACTGTTACTTTCTTTTAATTTTTTTCCCTTTTCTCTGGATTTATTTGATAGATTCCTCAAAAATATTTTATAAATACATAATGATAAATAATCTATTAGGACAATAAATTTTTAAAAAATTTTTGTTTTACTTCCAGGTGGTTAACGTTCGGTGTTGTATTAGTTTCAGGTGTATGATGTAGTGACTCAGCCTTTCACCGGGTGCTCATCATAAATGCATTTCGTCTGGATTTCTAAGTATCAGTGTGCACTACCTCTACAGCCAACAGAACAAATGCAAACCAACCCTCGTGTCCTTACGAAAAACTCGTTTTTGGAATGTCCTTCAACAGAATACCATGCAGGACTTAAAGAAGGAGATAGAATCTTCGTGTACAGACATCAAAAGGAGGTCAGGATTCGTTGAGTGAAATTAGTAAATCAAAAAGCAAGCGTGGGATGCAAATTATGGAAGGGGAGACGTATGTGTGTGTGGAGCATATTTCTATATACGACTGTCTGGAAAGACATGTACCGATTTTAGCAGATGCTGCAAGAAGGGAGAAGAGCCGGCCAAGGCAGAAAACCTCCATTTTATTCCCTTAGACAAGAATCTGCAGACCTCCCCGCCTCCCCACTGGCATTACAGGCACCTGGGCTGTGAGTAAGATTCCTAGGACCTACTGCAGGTGCAGGGCGGGCCCAGGAGAGGGTTCCAGAATCTCCACTTTTTCTTACTTAGCTTCCTCATAGAATGAGATTCCCTCATTTTCCCAGCACGTTCTTGCAGAACTACTGAAACAGGCAGAGTGTAAGACACTCTACAGCAGCATGCTGGACACCCGTTCTCCAGTGCAAACGTGCACGCCCTCTCCGTGTGCACGTGAACAAACTCACACACACCCACGTATTGTTAACCTCGACAGTAGAAGTCAGTTTTGTTTTGTTTTTCCCCAGCAACACTGGGTTTACTTGGGAATAAGAGAGAACTGCAGTTTAGGACATGCAGGCTATGCCCAAACCATGGGCAAGTCCCCCAAACAAAGGAGACGAAGTTATCTACGGAGAAATTGGAAGGGGTTGTTTTGAACCACAGCCCTTTGCAGAAAAGCAGAAGTTCGGGGTGGGCATGACTTCTGATTTGCTGAGCCGCAGCTGCGGCGCACTTTTTGCGGGAGTTTTCTTGCTGGGGCCTGCAGGGGATGACGGTCCCGTGGACCCCTCTTCTCCCAAGATCGGTAACTGACCGCTGTTCCCATAATGGACACAGTACCCGCTTCGGCCGCGCGGTGCAGGCTCCGGGGCGCTCTCTCCCGGTGAGCCCGTGCACGCGCGCGCACACACACACACACACACACACGCTCGCTCGCACGCACGGGCTCCATCGGTGAGCGTGCACACACGCACGTCTGCACATGCCCGCTCGTGATGGGCGCACTCCCGCGCACGCACGCACGCCTGTGTGTGCAGGCTGTAGCGCGGGGAGCGCGCGCGCACCCACACACCCGCGTGCACGTGCACACACTCCGAGAGCGTGTTGGAAACGGGGGGACAGCAGGCCGCTGCAGCGCGTCCGCAGGGGCAGCCGGCAGGTGCCTAGGACACACATCCTCCGCCGCCCGGTCCCGCCCGCCGGGGCTAGCTGAGTCGGCCTGGGCGTCCCTTTCGCGCCGTGGGAACGCGTCTGACGTTCACAGCGCACAATTCATTTTGCGTGCGATGTGATACGATTTTAACCACGAGGCACCGCAGGGCTGCGCAGCCCACCCCACCGACGCCGCTCACACTCCCACCTCGCAGAGGCCAGCCGCAGCCGCAGACCACGCCCCCACGGACCAAGCCCCGCCCGAGGCCCCGCCCCCACGACGGCAGCGGCCCCGCCTCTCTGCGCTTCCCCGAGGCCCCGCCCCCGACGTGAGGGCGGGCTGCGCGTCGGCGTGGGGGGGCGTGGTCTCGGCCGCGTCGCCGCGCCGCGTGCGGAATCTGCGGCGGCCGTTGGCCGTTGGCGCGGCTTGGGCGGTTGTCTTGGAGAAGCAAGATGGCGGCGACAGCGGCCGCGGTGGTGCCGGAGGAGGACACGGAGCTGCGGGACCTGCTGGTGCAGACGCTGGAGAACAGCGGCGTTCTGAACCGCATCAAGGTGGGCCGGGCCGGACCGCGGGGATGCCGGCTGCGCCCGCGGGCCGCAGGGCCTGCGCGGACGGCGGGCGTCACAAAGGGTCGCGCGGGGCCGCGTCGGGCCGCGGGCGGGGGGCGACTCCCTGCGGGGCCGGGTCTCGGGGGCCGGGCCGCGCGGAGGCCGGGGGTGCGTTCCCGGGGTGCGGGGCCGGGGCCGGCCCGCGCCGCAGCTGCCGGGCGGTGACCGGCGTGGGGTCGCGGACGCGGAGGCGGGGCCGAGCCGCGGGGCTGGGCGCTGGGAGCGGGCGGGGGCGGGCGGGGGCTCCCTGCTGGGGGTTCTCCGCGGGGCGCTCCCTGCGGGGGGCTCTCTGCGGGCGGGCGGGGGACACCCCGCGGCGCCTTCCCACCTCTCCGCCCCGGCCCGGCTCGTGGCCTCGGCTCTCAGACGGTGGGACGGCGCCTGTGGAACTTGGGTGTACGCCCGGGTCGTGACCGTGGCCTTCAAACTACTTTTGTTCCTTCACCGTTTTTTACAAGGCCGAACTCCGAGCAGCTGTGTTTTTAGCACTAGAAGAGCAAGAAAAAGTAGAGGTAGGAGATGCGCGACCTTCAAATGCCCACTCGTTTGTGTGTAATTTCCAGTACCTGCTCGTTCTCCTAAATACTGCGGGTACCGCTGTGGCCGGGGGTGGTTTCGAGCTACGAAGGACTGACTTCCCTACTGCTGGGCCGGAGGGGAGACTGTCCTCCTTTCGTCTGTATCTCAGAATTTCGGGGCGTCTAAGGGAGGTCGGGGTCGCAGTCGCTCTGGGGCCAGTAGTGAACCCTAGCTGGTGTAGACGCCTGTCTGTAGGGGTCTGGCGGGCAAGGTCACAGGGCGCCGTGGAGGAAGGCTTCCTGGCCAGTGCGTCTGCGGCAGGATCGCAGGAGCTGTCCTGTGTGGTGTGCGGGCGAATGCCACCGGGTGGGGGGATACCGCGTGCACCTCTTCTCAACTGGCTGACCCCCAGTTGCCTTAAAGTCATGTGCCCTTTGTCGCTGTCACAAGTCCAACCGCTTCTTCGTGTCAGTGCGTTCAGCCTTTTCCTGTCCCTCAGGTCTTCCCATGCCCCTGACGTCGGCGAGAATTACCCCGTAACCAGGGGCTTCACCTTGCTCCAGCCCGTCCCTCCGATCACCCCTCGCTTTAGACGTAGGCGCCTGCGCCTGCTTAACAGCATGAAGTGCTGCGGCGCTTGGTCCTTGCGTGTTTGTCCCGCGTCCGTCTTCTCTCGGCCGCCTTTGCTCGGGCCTCGTCTGGGCCTCGTGCTCCGTCTGAGAAACCGCGGCTCCTCCGCCGCCAGCCACACTCACTCTGGGAAGAGCCACGAGTGTCATTTCACTGAGCAGACTAAGCCCCTCCTGCGTGTGCCACGTTGGTGCCACGGCGGTCAGCCAGCGCCGGGTTGCTGCTAACTGGCGGGCGCCTGCCTCGGTGAGGGTCCGAGCGGGCGGTGAGCCGTCTGCGCTCAGAGCTCTCACTTAGCTGCGCTGACCCGCCACCTCCCCTGCCTCCTGCGCTCTCAGCAGCTGGCCCGGTCTCTCCTTCGCAGGGAAGGAGGAGCGTGGGGTCCCCACTGTTTGCGTCTTCCCTGCAGCTCCATCCCTCGGCTCGGAGAGAGCCGCCCTGCGTCCGACCGCATCCTACCTCCTTCCGGCTTTGCTGCGGGGTTCTTCGTCTCGTCCAAGAATAGTCCCGTTCTCTGGGTTTTGCCTTCCAGGTACTCTCAGCAGCTCAGCCGTTGGCTCTGTCTTTGGCTTTGTCCTTGCTGTTGGTCCTTCTCTGGAGCATAGAGACGTGTTTCTATCTCTCTCAAGGACAAAGCTCTTTTCCTTAACTCACGTTCTGCTTTTAATACCACTCGGATTTTCCCCCACAGTTGAATTTTGAAAAAATGTATATGTTTTATTTCTTATGTTCCAGGCACCCTTTAATACATTAACATCTTAAATCCACTTAAATTCGCCTTAGATCTCCTACACCTGAGACATCCCTTTGCCGGGGTCAAGAAGAATCTCCTTATTGAGTATATTTTCCTTCTAACCTCTGTTCTTAACTTGGTTGTTCTTTGTGGCATTTGACATTCTTAATTCCTCTCTTCTTTCCTGAAAATCTCCCTGGATTTTGGGACTTTTTTCTTTCTCTTTTCTCCTTTGAGCACTTCTTGCTCTCTTTAGTGCCGTCTTTTCCCTCTACACCGGGCTTACATCCTTGGTGTACTATGCAGGAGCTCTCATTCTGTGTTTTCTCCCTGGATGACCTGAATTCTACCGGTGACTTCAGCCCTGAGTCCTTGACCCACCTTGTCAGCTTCAGACCCATCTGTGACCCTGTCTGTCAGACTGGTCTTGCTTCTGGGGACGGCGGTTTGCCCGAGCAAGAAATCTGAGTTGCCTGGACCTTGCTCTCTGCCCCCGTGGCAGCCCTGCGGCTGACCTGTGTGAGGAGGCCCTCCGCCACCTTCCTGTCCAGTGCTGAGCTGCTGCTGTTGCGGGTGGCTTTACCCCTCCTCCTCTCCAGTCTCCTCTTTGCTCGTGTCACTCACCATCTTCCTGAAGTCCGTTCTCTGCAGTGCTCCTAGTTTGGCTGTTGATAATACACATCTGCTTTTGTTCCTCCTCTGTTTTTTCTTTAAATATTTCAGTTGACTCGGTGTCTTAAAATTCCGTAGACCAACCTACCAAGGTACCTTTATGATCTTTCCTTGCCTTGTCTTTTTTTGTTTTTTTTTTTAAAAACAACTTTATTGAGGTGCAACTGACCTATAGTAAACCCAGTACACTTAAATGTGCAGTTTGTTACATTTTTTTTTAATATTTTATTTTATTTATTTGACAGAGAGAGAGAGAGAGAGATCACAAGTAGGCAGAGAGGCAGGGAGAGAGAGAGGGGGAAGCAGGCTCCCCGCTGAGCAGAGAGCCCCATGCAGGGCTCCATCCCAGGAACCTGAGATCATGACCCTAGCCGAAGGCAAAGGCCCAACCCACTGAGCCACCCAGGCGCCCCAGTTTGTTACATTTTTAATGTTTATGCAACCTTGAAACAGGATAGTGCACTGTATCCTTGACCCTTGAAAGCTTCCTGAAACCTTTTGTGACACCCTCCCCCACCACACGCCCCAGGGCCGCCATGTATTTAAGAGCCACACATGCAGGATCCTCCTGCACAGACTCTTCTCTTTTTTGATCTGGCTGCCTTCATTCAGCACAATGCATCTAAATTGGCCCATATTGTCCTTTGTGTTAATAGCTCATTCTGTCTTTCCCCATGTAGTGTGTGTTGTATGGACGTGTGACGGTTTGTTTGGTCATTCATCTGTTGATGAGCGTTTGGCTTGTTTCCAGTTTTCTGGTGTTATAAATGGGCTTCAGTGAACCCTCACGTATATGTCTTTGCTTAGACCTGTGCTTTTCTTGTGAGAAAATGCCTACAGATGGGTCCTATGGTAGGGGTACTAACTCTAGAACATTACTAGACTCCTTTCCAAAGTGATCGCACCATTTACAATCCCAGCAGCAGAATGTGAGTCGTTATACCCATAATTCATTCGGTACGCTTAAAGAAGCTCGAGTGAGCTGGAAGTATTTTTCCTGTTTTTATTCAAGTAAACGCAGAATGGCAGAGGTAAGTTGGTCTGTGCAGGACCCAAAGTCACGTCACGTGATGCTAACGAGCTGCGAATAGCAAGTGTGTAATTTGAATCCTGCTCACAGTAAGCTATAAATGGAAGATAATCTATGATGACAGCATGTCACCGTGTATTTAGAGTACCTGTAGGTAAACGTAACGCCATTTCACGTATGAGTAGCTGAAGGTCTAGCTTCTAAAGTCGTTTAATAAACAATTTGTGGAATATTTAAAAATTAAAAATAAATGCACATTTTCATGTGTGGTTTCATTTTATTAGCTTTGAGATAATAAATAGCATCAAAGAATTTCTGTAGTAATCAATAGTTGTAGAGTGGGCTTAACCATAATTTTATGAGTGACCATATTTTACTATATATCTTTGCCAAAAATTAAGCTTTAAACCACGTTTTGTAGCTTTTAAATGCATGACATACCATTTCATTTTTTAACAGAACAAAACTCCTCTAGTCAATGAGAGCCTGAGAAAGTTTTTAAGTACGAAAGACGGTAAGATGTTCAGTTTACTCTTTCTTATTTTGTCTGTCTGCGAATTTCCAAGTTCTATTTAGGAGAGATATGTAGTTTCAGATTTTTTTTTACAATTTTATTTATTTATTAGAGAGAGAGAGAGAGCGCACATGAAGGGGCTTGGGAAGGGCAGAGGAGAGAGAGGGGCAGGCTCCCCTCCGAGGGGGACCCGACGCAGGGAGGTCGATCCCTAGACCCCGAGATCATGATGTGGAGCCGAAGGCAGACACTTAACCAGTTGAGCCACCCAGGCGCCCTGACAAGTTTCAGATATTTTTTGAAGCCTGTGATTCTTACAGGTTCTCATTTTAAAATTGTCTTTTATTATGTAACTGTTAAGTTGTTTTGAATAGCCTTGGTCATAGGAAATTGTTGGTTAAAACCAGTTTGTTTTTTTAATTTTTTAATTTTTTTTTAAGGTTTTATTTATTTATTTGACAGAGAGATCACAAGTAGGCAGAGAGGCAGGCAGAGAGAGAAGAGGGGGAAGCAGCCTTCCCGCTGAGCAGAGAGCCCGACATGGGGCTCGATCCCAGGACCCTGAGATCAGGACCCGAGCCGAAGGCAGAGGTTTAACCCACTGAGCCCCCCAGGTGCCCTGTTTGTTTTTTTAAAAGATTTTATTTAATTATTAGAGAGCGCGCATGAGAGGGGAGGTCAGAGGGAGAAGCAGACTCCCCATGGAGCTGGGAGCCCAACGTGGGACTTGATCCCGGGACCCCGGGATCATGACCTGAGCAGAAGGCAGTCGCTTAACCAACTGAGCCACCCAAGCGCCCCAAAACCAGTTTTAGTGTAAGAAGCAGAGTACTCTCACGCGCCTACGGAATGTTGTTTTAGCACTAGTTAGCTTCACATGGTGCTAATGAAAACACGAGACTGAGATTTTCATTGCTGGGGTTCTTTGAAGATAAATTTATCGTTTAAGCTTAGAAACCTCTCCTCTTCAGTTGCTGAGTTACCCTTAGCTGGTGGCGTTAGTGGAGGGGCTTCGGGCGCGCAGTTGTGCTCACCGCCTCTCCCGTTCCGCAGGCCGGCTGGTGGCTAGTCTCGTTGCGGAGTTTCTCCAGTTTTTCCATCTTGACTTCACGTTGGCCGTTTTTCAACCCGAAACCAGCACAGTAAGAGTCATGATTTTTTTGCATCTATCTTTGAAACCGTCCTTGATACAAGTGCGTTCATTATAACCTGAAACTTAACAAAATTTGATGTGTTAGAGGGTCTTGCATATAGATTATTTCTTATAGTCGATGTTTCGTTTGTCTTAAAAGCCGTCAGAGCTGTAGATGGCTGCTACCCACGCCGCTTCGTAGAACTTTGAGAGGAAGGTTTTGTAGAAATAATTGTTCCGATGTCAGACCGCATCCGTTCATGAAGACTTCAGATGCAGAGACTAGTTTAAAAGAAATCTATATTTTTTTAAATGGACGTTTTATTCATTAGGAAAATGATCTCTCTGAGTTTAGAGATATCTTTAATTCCCAAAATATTTTCCTTCAGTCTCTGAAAACCATTTGCATACTTCTGTGCACTCATCTCGCTTGATGTGTCTTCTTCCCTAGTTTCAAAGTCTTGAAGGCCGAGAGAACTTGGCCCGAGATCTAGGTATTATCGAGGCAGAAGGTACTGTGGGCGGACCGTTGTTACTGGAGGTGATCAGACGTTGTCAGCAGAAGGAGAGAGGGCCACCCAATGGGGAGGTAAGTGTAATTCCAGCCTCTGTCATCTTTCAGTTTTAATTATTGGCTACTCAGGGCCGCCATGCAGAGTTCCGCATGCGTGGTGAATCGGAGTTTACATGCAAAGAAGCTGTTCCTTCAAAACACAACAAAGCACATTAGGCCGTGCGAGCGCGCGTGCTGACGACAGTCGGAGTCGGGTCGGCGGAGCCCGGCGCGTGCTTCTTTGCAGTTGGACGCTCGGGAGCACTGGGGTCGGGTAGAGGGGGACGAGGCTGGCTTTGGCCATGCGGGCCCCTCGTGGCTCCCCCGGGTAGGATGGGGAGAGCGGCCGCCTCGTGGGCGGTGTGAGGCCGCACCAGGTAGGGCACGTCAGGTGCCCGGACACTCGTTGGTTATTGTCTTGTTACCGCTTTAAACGTAACAGAGCTGAATCAGAGGCTAGTTAATCAATTTTTGAACTTAAGGGCTTTTTAAAAACAGACTTAGAGCTGTTGAAGCTGTTGATTGTGCTTAGTTTCTAAACATTTCCAAACTTCTGTTTTCTTGATTAGCTACTGCCTTTCTTGCTCCTCCCTTTTTAGAAACTTGCTAATGAGATGAAGTCTGATTTCTGGTTACAAATGTTAGTTTTAGGTAGAGATCCTGTTTCTCTGGCACCCGGTTAAACACGTGCTTTTAGTGACTGTTTTGTGAGTAAGAACGTGGGGGCTGCGCACTGCCTGGGCTCTGTGTGGGGTCTCAGAGCATGTTTTCTGTTGGAATCTGTTTTAGCGTCAGGGGAGCCTGACTGAGCACCCATTGCACAGAGGGCATAAGAAATAGGTGCTTTGCATGGAAAGATAAAATAGTTTGACGGGCTAGAAGAATTGAGAGTTATTAAAGATAAACTGTGTCCCCATAAGGAAACGCGCATGGAAGTGATGGCTTATGATAGTGGAGGGAGCGTACAGTGAATGGTTCGTACCACACATTTTAGGAGTCAAATCAGTTTTAGTTAAAGGGGAGCAGTGGTTTTTCAAGTGGGAATTTTGTTAAACTGAGTCTTAGTGTGAGAGTAGAGGAGAGGATTGGGGAGGTGTTCTAAGGAGGCTATGGAGAGCTGGGGCCAGGAGCAGGGGCTGTGGCTGGGTGAGGGGCAGGGGTGCAGCAGGGATGGGGCTCTGGGGTGGGGGGCGCTGCAGTGGCTTTTGGGTTCAGCTCTGCGGTGCTGGTGGCCCCTGTGCCCTGGTGTGCCCTCCCTCAGCTCAGGAGCAGGAGCGTGGGCTGAGCTAGGATGCTTGGGGTCACATCCTAGCTCTGCCGTGTCCTGTGTGTGACTCTCTGAAGTCACTTGACCTCCACGTGCTTTAGGTTGCTCACTCATGACGTGGGGATGATGGAAAGAATGGCCGCGCGGGTGGTGGTGAGACCCTCGGGGGGTCAGGGTCGGGAAGGTTCGGCGGCAGCACTTCGTGTGTAGGACCTGCGAGCTTTGCCTTTGTCGTCATTGTTGGTCGTTTTGTCCTCATTACTGTTTGGTGACTCCCACGTCCAGCTTCGTCCTTCCCCAGCGTGAGACTGGTCTCCAGCTCTTCCCCACACAGACCCGCTGGACGCTCACTGGCACACGTGCATCCTGTGTGATGAAACAGGCTTCACTCTAGCGAAGCCCCAGTCGCAGAAGGTGAAACATCTGTGTCCTCCCGGTTCCAGTTCTTGCTCCCGGTTTCTCTGCTTGTGCTGGTTGTGCTTCTGTGCCCCCTGGTTTCAGTCCACAGAGCTGCCTTTCTGCTCGCGCCCTCGGCCCGGTCCTGTCAGGGAGGAGTCTCTGTCCCCCGCGGCAGCAGCGCGCCGTGGAAGAAGGCAGGCTTGGTTGGCGCGGAGCTCCCCGTCGGCTGCTAGACAGGGCGTCCGCCTCAGACTGAGGCCCCGTCAGAGATCTTGTCTAGTTGGGTTGGTTTGAAAATGAAAATTCAGGAAATGTGTTCTTCGTGTGTGTTTCTGGCTGGTGGATCCGAAGCCGGCCCCGTCAGTCGGCCTGTTGCCAAGCTGGGTGTCTGTCAGACGGACACACGAGAAGACTTCTGTACCTTCAAGAGGTCATGGTTTTACTTCTTGAAAGTTTGAAACCATTACGAAATACCCACTCCTTGCTACTTTCCCCCTTAATATGGGGGTGTGTCGTTTTAACTGGTCGTGTGTCTCTGTACACACATGAATCGATGGTCAGGTTCATATTTAAAATAGGGAGCTCACAGTGTCCGTTTTGGCTTTCCCGTCTTCACTAGCGTTTCTAACTTGGAGGGGGGACGCCTCTCCTTAGGTTGTGTTAACCTCTTCTTCTGATGCTGGAGAAGAAAACTAGCTTTGGGTTCAGCCCGTTGAACTCAGTGATGCTTTCATGGAAAGGCGTTTGCAGACCACCGTAAGACTCAGGTTGCTGTGCCCCACGTCCTTTGCCGTGACTTTGAGTGGGTCTTGGAGGGCGTTGGGTGTCCCCCAGCACAGTGGGTCCCAGCACCGGGTTGTTTGCTGTGCGGCCCCGGTGGAGCCCCCTCGCTCCCCGCGAGTGCCTGCCGTCGCTCGGGTCCTGCGCCCCAGCACCTCTGCGGGCGCTGTCCGCGGTCAGTCTGTGCCCTTCACGCTCGCCGACTTCATCTCCAAGTCCAGCCCTTCGTCTACTGCTCCGCTCTCTACAGACTGCCGTCACTGTGCAGTGGCAGCCAGCTGGCTCCCAGAGTCCTCGGCCTTGGTGTTGAGATCCAGTGTGATGTGGCGCCTCACCGCCTTTCCAGTTTTATGCCTTTTTGTGAAATGTGGAACCTTGTGCTTCAGCCAGACTTGGTTCTACTTAAAAGTGGCTTTTGCTTTCTTGCCTTCCCCTCGTCTGCTCTCCACCGGAAACGGGGCACCGTCCTCACACCCAGCTGTGGAGTGTCCTCACTCACGGTCTCTCTTCCACTCTGCCTTCTGGGGTGGTTCCCTCTTCCTCCCTCTCTGCCAGCGGCTCTCAAAACTGAGGGCCTGGCTCTGCGCAGGTGTGGAAGCCGCCTGCGGTGGCCCGTTCCTCCCCATGTCATCCCCTGGCTGGGGACAAGGGCTTGGTCTCACCATTGTATCCTTTGCAGGGTCCAACCCAACCCAACAGGGATTCTTCTTTTTTCTTTTTTTAAAAGATTTGTTTATTTTAGAGGAAGCATACACGGTGGGAGGGGCAGAGGGAGAAAGAATCCCAGCAGACGCCCCGCTGAGGGGGAGCCTGACGAGGGGCCGGATCCCATGATCCTGAGATCATGACCTGAGCTGAAATCCAGCATCTGGCGCTCAAGCCACTGAGCCATCTGGGCGCCCCCACAGGGGTTCTGAACAGACCCTGTGTTCAGACTCGGTGGGAAGCTTTTGCAGACTTGTGCAGAGGAAGTACTCATTTGGAAGATGAATTTGTGAAGGTTAGAAGGTGAGATCGGGAGAAAGTCAAAGCCTAGAAGAAGTGAAATCTTCTGGAAAGCTAATCTAGATAGGACTGGTGGCAGTAAACACAGACACAAATGGGCAGATAAAGATTCCCCTTTAAAGGAAGAAGCGAAAAGACTCGATAAATTAATAAGACGGCAGAGGGTTGGGTCTCAGAGGATGACACGGGAGGAAGAAAAGTTTGCGACGGTGAAACGGGGTTTTCAGCCCAGGAGAAGAGGACGCCGTGCCAGAAGTCAGCGGCTGGAGGGGAGCCGTGGGTGTGGAGAGCCGCACGGGTCCTGTTCAAAGTGCTGGAGTCGTTGGTGGGATTTTCATATAAAATAGCCAACATTTGATACACACGCGGTCATAGAGCTGCTAACGGGGTTGTGGCTGAATCTCAGGAGGTCATTTCCATCCAAGAAACGTTGAAACCTTTCTTCTTTGCGTTCAGCATAGTGCGGGGAAGGGACCAGCGGGTGCCCTGAAGGCGGTGGTTTTGTGATGCTGTGCGTGGGGCCTTGCGGTGCGGTCCGTGCTCTGGGAGGTGAGAGGACAGCAGCCAGCGCAGAGGAGGAAGGCAGTAGGGGTCTTTGTAGAGCGTGCCATGTCCACGGACAGCCGCTGCTTGGGACTCTGGGCACAGTGGAGGAGGCAGCGGGGCCAGAGGGGGTGAGAGTAGGTGCGTGCGAGTCCCGGGGCCGGCTGCCCCCCACGGCGGGGCCCCCAATGAGGGCTTCTCCGGGCACGCTCAGCCCAGCACGGAGCGGCCTGTTTGGGGTGACTGGGTCAGATGTGTAGGTAATTAGAATCCAAGTGTGTTTTGTTTTGTTTTTGCTTGAGTCCAATTGGTGAAAATCTAATAAGAATATTTATATTATTTAGAAAGTTCAAAACACCAATATTGTATAGTGGTTTTAAATGCCAAAATTCTTAATAATGTATTAATAGTATATACTATTGAGGCTTAATAGTATATTTATGTTTTTTAAAATATGTTTTAATCTGAAACTGAAATATTTTAGGGTGCACTAGAGCTGTCCGATGTTCATTCTCCACCAAAGTCACCAGAAGGCAAAACCAGCGCTCACAGCAATACCAGTAAGGTGAGTGGGCCACGGGCATGAGGGCTTCTGCGCTCAGACTCCACGGGGCTCGGCTTTCCCTCCTGTCCTCCTTGTTGCAGGTTGAGTTTGTAACGCAGGTGCGGTGTGCTTTCTTGATGTCGCGTTTCTCCCTTTAACGAAGCATGTATTTAACACACGCGTTCTGTTGGGAGTGTTCTGAATTTTGTGTCCTAGGGAGGAACGCACTGTTGAATCACAGAGTTGTGGGGTTTTGGGACTCATTTGGTACTTGGGAAATTTTCTTCCTTAGTTGGCAGAGGGATTTACTTTTCATTTTTAACTCCTAGCTCTGGGATACTGGGTGCCTGACGGTTGTTCCAGAATATTACTATGTTGAACGTTGAAGACGGATGACCAGTTTAGAATTGTAAATCGTAATGGCTTTTTATATTAATGAGCTATTTGGAGGATTTATAATAAAACGTGTGTTCTCTGGGTGTGTGTGTGTGGCTTACGGGTTGTTAAAACGAAGGCCTTCTGATGGCAGGAATTTGGTGAACTGGAGAAAAGTGCTGAGTGGAACACTGGAATTGAAAGTCCAGGGTCCCGGGAGCGGATAGAACGTGCCCGTTAGGCACGGCTGCAGCGCTCTGTGTGTTGGTACAGCCGAGCAGTCCTACCCGAGCATTGGTTGGGGCCAGGCGTGTTGTGATCCTTGCCTTGACTCCCGTTTTGCAGGATGAGGGTGTGGCCCTGGAGCCCACTGTGTGAGCCTGCTGGTGTCGTGACTCGGGGCCACAGTGGGACCTCCGCAATGAGGTGACTTCTTGGGGTTCCTCTCTATCAGGTGCCTGGACTCACACAACAGTGAGCAGCCCCGTGGTTTTGTTACTGGGTCTTTGATGGTGTTGCTCCTTTTCATGTTTTCAGTTTGGGAATCAAAGGATTTTATGCTTTATTTCCAGCCGAGGGAAGAGACCGTCATGCTGTTTGTGGCTGTCCCTTCACTCCGAGATCTAGTTAGCCTTCTCTGTGGGGGGGTTTCCCTCCATGCTCCCGGGAGGCTGTCACCATGGTTACAGAGAGATCAAGGTTGTGAGTAAATTTAAAAAGTCCCTTTAAGTGAGTTGTCAGATACAGGAGCCTCGGTAAAAAAGCTTTGCTTCCTGTGCACATGTCTGGCTGTGATGGGGTGAACGTTAACACATTTTCCAGAGGATCAGTCCCTGTAGCACTGGGCTGTTGGGAAGTTCTCTTTGTAGCAGATCGTTATTCTGGGAAGCAGAGCAGCAGCAGGGACCTTCTGCACGGGGTGTGTCTTCAGGATGACAGAGTAAAGTCTTTGATGTATTTTCTCTACACAAATTTTATTTTCAAGATCTAAGAACTATGATGAGAATCTTTTAAGTCAGTTAGGATCTGTTGCCTGAAACACAGAGAAGTGCTGGTCGTTGTAGAGGTGGACTTGGAGAGCAGTGAGTTGTCCTCCAGCTGTGCCCCCGCGCGCTCCACCCCTGCTGGCTGCCGGTGGGCAGGGAGGCCCGTGGGGGGCAGTGGCCGTGCCACAGGGCAGTGGCCGACTTGTGGCAAGGGGAAGCCGTCTGGCGGCAGGAGGGCTGCAGTTCCCGGTAGTTCTGAGGCTGCGGGTCGGGCTTTCAGCACTCTGCCCACCTTTTTCTTGCCAGCTGTCTTCCTCTCTTGGTGGTCTTTGAATCATGGTGGCTCTCAGGACACCTTGTCAGGCTGGGCGCCACGGAGAGCACTCGGGGCCGTGGGATGTTGTGGCCAAACCAAGGGTCCAGTCCGACCCACAGAAACCCGCTTTGTGTGCTCCCAAGTGAGGCGAGGTGAGGCCGGGGCAGCTCTTAGGGGACGCTGCTCCAGAGGCCGGGCCCGGAGCGTGGTTCTGCCCATGGCGGCCGTGGGGGGGCCGTGGGACCCAATCTCTGCGAGGCACAGTAGTTACGTGCCAGGTGAACCACGGGAGAAGAAGAGAGTTAAGGAACGAGAAAAAAAAATGTGGGTTTCGGAAAGGAACATATTGATTAGGTTTTCCATTCTTCAGAGCTTTTTTGTTTGTTTGTTTTTAAAGATTTTATTTATTTGAGAGAGAGAACAAGCGGGGGAGCGTCAGGGAGAGGGAGAAGCAGACTCTCCACGAGCAGGGACCCCCTTCCCCACCAGATTTGGGGTTCGATCCCAGGACCCTGGGAACATGACCTGAGCTGAAGGCAGAGGCTTAACCCACTGAGCCACCCAGGCGCCCCCGTGAGAGCTTTTCTAATAGGAAATTTTATTAGTTTGGTTATGGATTAGTTTCTTTGTAAAGATTATACTTTTTAGTAAAATGTCATTTTATTCTCATGCTCAGATACCAAGGTATAAAGGACAAGGTAAGAAGAAGACAAGCGGGCAGAAGTCTGGTGCCAAGGTAACACGCTGAGGGGCAGAGGGAAGAAGCAGCCGTGCCGCGGCAGACCGCCCGCTCTGCCGGCCTCCTGCGGGCCCCAGCCCCCTCCTGGCCCGGGGTGCGGTGCTCTGTGCCGGTGTCGCTGTCCCCGGCTGCGGTCAGCCTGTGATCAAGCCATGGGCCCTAAAACAAAGTAATTTGGCTTTTCGATTTTTACCCAGGTGAAAATCATACTGTGGGGTTTTACAGATGTGCTGTCAGTTGGAGAATTCCTTGTTTTCTCAGCAGAATGTGTATTTTCCTTTTGAGCAGACGGTTGTGTACACGTATTCTTCGTGTTACGATTTTCATCTGAGGTAAATAGAGAAACTATTTTTTGGGTAGGTTTCGATTGATAAATTAAAGGCCAAACTTAGTTTCTTTCAAGACATTTTTGAGAGTGTTGAGCCTTTGGCTGCGTGTCCGAGCCCGCCGTCAAGGAGCCTCCCTCGCAGCCCCGGCTCCCGGGGGACCCGCGGGAACGTGCAGGCCTGGGCCAGCTCTGGCCCTCCGCTGCCTCGTCTTCCTCCCCGAACGTGCCAGAAATCCACAAGCCAGTCGCGTGCTGCTTTGAAAATTTAAATACTGCGGGTCTTAAAAGCGCTAATCACTCTGCTCGCACGTGTTTGGAATAAGACACTTAACGTTTGGTGCCGAGAGAGTCATCGCTTCTTCTGACCCTTGCTTGATGTGTAGCCTATGGAAGACCTTCAAGATTAAATGATTATTTTGTATTAAATTTTGTATTAAATTAAAAATACAATTTTTAAAGAAATTGTATTTGCTGCGGTAGCTGGCTTTAGTTCTAGTGGTCTCACTGGTGAGTCCCCGTTACTCTGTTCAGGTGTTACATGTTCCTGCCCGCGGAGACTCGGGAGGTTTCTTAGCAAGCACGTGCGGCCCGTGTCCCGGCGGGAGCGGAGGGGTGCGGGGCTGCGGCGAGGCGGGTCCCCTGCGGGCCCCACTGCGCTGGTGACGGTCTGATGGGGCGCCAAGACCCTCTTCCAGAAAGAGGACTGAGAATACGCTATGGCATATTTGTAAAGAGACTTTGAATCACTTTCTCAGACTTTTTAGGAAAGTTAAAAGCGTACCTTATGGCCTTTCATTTTTATCGTTCATTGGTTCCAACTTTTGGGAGGCTCTGGATCTTCTAAACCAAAACACGTTCAAAGATAAATTGTCACTTTGCACCCCGCAGCCATGTGGCCCAGACTTCTCCCCCCCTCTGCAGGGGTGGGCCTCAGGGGCGCTGACCTCGGGGGCTGAGGGATCCGGACGGGCCCTGCCCTGGCTCGTGGGCTCGCGGTCTGGCCTCTCTCGGTTCGTTTCTTGTATTTTTGACCCAAGAGCCCGAGTCACCTTGAAGCCTTCCCCTTCTCCTTCCTTGCTCTCGTCCGGAGGTGCCTTTCCCAGTGTGCGCTGTGGCCGCGCGTCCGGCCGCCGGTGAGCCCGGAGCCAGTGCCCTCGGCCACGCTGCTCGGCCCAGTCGCCATGCGGTCCCCGGGGCCACAGCATTCTCAGCGTCGGGGGTTCCCCACGCCGGGCTGCCTGTGGCCGCGGGGCCGTGCTCGGGGGCGCGGTGGCGTGGCCGGCTGTGCGGGCTCTCGCGGGTGACCCTGCCTGCCGGGCGCCCGGTGCGCCGTCCAGGGGCCTCTTTACGTGTCGCGTTCCGGAAGGCGGCCCTGGGCTCTCAGAGAGGTGCTGCTCGTGTTTAGAAATGAACCGTAAAGAGCATTTGTGTGTGTGCGTGTGAGTAGGTGGTTGGCCCTTGCTGTCATCACCCTGTCAGCACACACAGCGACGCACAGGGCTGGACGGATCCTAGGTTGGGCGCGAAGCCCGGTTCCGGGGCTGCTGCTTGTTACCATGGGGACACGGCGCCCGCCTGGGTGTCGGAGGCCTTGGCGGGGAAGCGTTCCCTGGGGGTGTTTCTCGAAACTTCCCGAAACTTCCCGAAACTTCCCGACCGTATGGGACACTCCCGCCGAGCTGGCCTCCAGACTGCTCTGCTTCCTCACAGACACTTTTTCTTCTGCCGGACGTGGGGCCGGTCGTCTGAGGGAGGACAGTGCCCGTTGCACAGGACAGCAGGCGTCTGGTAGGGCCACTAACGTCGGCCGGCTATTTAAGAGTTAGATGTTGCTTGTTTTTTTTTGTTTTGTTTTTTTTTTAAGATTTTATTTATTTATTTGACAGAGATCACAGGTAGGTGGAGAGGCAGGCAGAGAGAGAGGAGGAAGCAGGCTCCCCGCTGAGCAGAGAGCCCGATGCGGGACTCGATCCCAGGACCCTGGGGATCATGACCTGAGCTGAAGGCAGAGGCTTTAACCCACTGAGCCACCCAGGCGCCCCTAGATGTTTCTTGTTTTAATATTTAGACTCAGGTGCTCTTTGTATTATGGAACATAAGAGGAAAGATCATCCTTTTCGTGATCGGGTCTCCGGTATTTCAAACCTAGTACCTGTTGAGGTAGTTTTTGCTTCAAGTTCCTAAAAAAGGACTTTTTTTATTTGTTGTTCCTGGTTTTTAAAATTCTGGCCTAAGCCCCGCTGATGTTGATGAGGGCCGTGATGCAGACCTCGGAGTAAGTGTGTTGCGGGCGGGGGGCGCACATTTGTGGGTCTTTCTCCCCAGCGCTTTCTCGGTAAACCAAGCACAGTCATTCCCTTACTCTGCCCCAGCCCCAGGCGGGATGGACAGGTACGAGAGCAGAGAGCGGGTACGCTGCCGTGTCCGGGGGCCCTGAGCCCTTGTGCCGGCTGTTCAGGCTGCCTCTGGGATCGGGGATGGAGCCGAGCAGCCGCGCAGTCTGGTGTCCGCCAGAGGTAAGGGGCATCTGCAGCAGTGACGGACCGTCCGTAGAGCAGAGGGACAGAGGTTTTCTAGAAAAACTGAGTTTTTAGAGGAGTTTAAATGTTTGTTTTATGGTTCTAGAATTCCACAGTGTATGTTCTAGGTGAATAGATTTTTTAAAATGTGTCTTAGAACTGTAGTAAAATTGTTTAAATCATGGGTCAAGAAAACACTTCCGGTGGGGTGGGAGAGGGGAGCTAGGGCCTTGAGGTGTGGTTGAGGAAGGGAATTATTACCATGCATTTTTTAAATACGTTTGCACAACTGGGGTATTTTTTAGCTTTGATGTTTCTCTGTTATGAGCTTAGAAAAATAAAATTCATTTTTTAGGTTCTTAAAACACTCTGGTGATAATTCACATTTTGGCTCTTGGGAAATTCGTAGTTCTTTTCTTCTTTTTTTAAAAGATTATTTATTTATTTGATAGACAGAGATCACAGGTAGGCAGAGAGGCAGACAGAGAGGGAAGCAGGCTCCCCGCTGAGCAGAGAGCCACATAGTTATTTTCAGTGTGACACTTGTTTCTCTGTGAGGTTCATTTGCTGTTAATCTAGAAGTGACTGAAATCCAGATGTGTAAGTGGACTTGTAGACCGTTATGTATATACTCGAACTTTCTTGCAACTTTGCACTAATTCACCATGAAGTTTTAGCCTTGAGATTGGTCTAAGGGAATTTAATGCCTGCTTTTGTGCCACTCAGTAGGTCTCTTGGTTTTCTGAAAAGACCGAGTTTATCATAGGTTCTAGTTCTTTATTATAAACACCTGTACGTAGGGCTGTGAGAAGGTGCACGAATTTGGTAACCTAAACCACGCTTCTGGAAGCTGCAGGCTGGAGATCAGGCGTCTGCGTGGCGGTCCCTCCTGCAGGCTGGGGGGACAGTCTCTTGCCCGCGGTCCCAGGCGTCCCTTGCCTGGTAGACCCTTCACCCATCCCCGCCGTCCTGTTCACCTGTGTTCTCCCCGGGCATCCTCGCCTGCTGGGCACCGGGCATAGTGGGGGAGCCGCCTGCCCCCCGCAGCCTGACCCAGTGTACCTAGTCGCATCAGTCGTGACACTGTGTGTAAGCGAGGGGCGCTCTGGAGTCTGGGTGTTCGGGCTTCGTCTTCCTGGGGGGACTCTGTAACCCTAATCGCCGAGGCCTGTGAGGCTCTCCAGGTGGTGAATTCCAAGGCAGGTTCTTGTCGTAGACACACAGTCAGCCACTTCCCTCCCTCCGGCCGAGGTGTGCAAAAGCTTGTGCTGAGAGTCAGGGAGAAGCTGCGTAGCTAGAATTAAGCGCTGTTGGAAGCAAAGAGGTGAGACAAAATAGAGCTTCCCTGTGACCTGCCATTGCACTGCTGGGTATTTACCCCAAAGATACAGATGGAGTGAACAGAAGGGCCATCTGCACCCCAATATTTATAGCAGCAACGGCCACGGTCGCCAAACTGTGGAAAGAACCAAGATGCCCTTCAACGGACGAATGGATAAGGAAGATGTGGTCCATACACACGATGGAGTATGATGCCTCCATCAGAAAGGATCAATACCCAACTTTTGTAGCAACATGGACGGGACTGGAAGAGATTATGCTGAGTGAAATAAGTCAAGCAGAGAGAGTCAGTTATCATATGGTTTCACTGATCTGTGGAGCATAACAAATAGCATGGAGGACAAGGGGAGATGGAGGGGAGAAGGGAGTTGGGGGAAATTGGAAGGGGAGGTGAACCATGAGAGACTGTGGACTCTGAAACACAACCTGAGGGTCTTGAAGGGGCAGGGGTGGGAGGTTGGGGGAGCCAGGTGGTGGGGATTATGGAGGGCACGGACTGCACGGAGCACTGGGTGTGGTGCAAAAACAATGAATTCTGTTACGCTGAAAATAAATTAAAAAAAAAACAAAAAACCAAAAAAAAAAAACAAAAAACCCCAGACAATGCCTTAATGCTTCGAAGGTTTTTAAAACAGATCCCAGGGCTTATGTCGTGACTTGACTTCTTATTGCCCAAAAGATTTGGATTTCTTGCCTGGAAATTGCTCTTGAAGTTCTACACTACTTGCATGTTAATTTATAGATGTTTTGATAAGTCTTTCTCTTGTGTGAGTTTTTCCTAACCTAAAACTGATTTGGAATTCAGTTTAGGGAATTCTCAGTAACCCAGCTGAGTAGCAGTCCATTCGGTGAACAGATAGCCATAGTTAGAAGCACACAGTTCTGTGTGGTTTAGAAATGGATTTTGAGAAGAGTTCCAAAACAGATCAAGTGTTTTTAAATTTTACTCCGTAGGTACCTAGAACTAGAGTTTTAAAACAAACTGATTTTTGTTTTTCAAAATACATATTTTGCTGAACATGGGAGTGTGATTGTCCATGAAACTCGTCTTCCTCAAACTAGCCTTCGTTCCTCTGGCAGGGCTGTTGCTGAAATCAGTCCAAACTAGTCCTGGGTAAATGTTAGTTACAAGTTTAGATGGTTCGTCGTGGGGACTTAAGTCATGCTGGTAGTGTGTGACTTCACCGGGAAGGCCAACTTTATTGGGATAATCACGGTTTTTGTAAAGTTGCTTTTCATGGACATGACACTTTACTTCACACCAGTCTGTCCTCCGTCTTCTCAGGAGTGTTTTGAGGAGAGAGTAGATCTCTGTAATTGGAAATGGGTTTAAATATCACAAGACTTGGTTTATATTTCCAAATGCATAGGTCTTTGAAAAGATGTAAATCCAGTGTTCAACATGTGTAAGTACAGGTTGCTGTGGGCCTGGATAAGGAGCGCGTGGATGGTCGGGGCTTCTCTGTGTTTGCTCATACCGGAGAATTTCAAGAAAGTCATTAGGAAGTTGTAAAATGTTTCTGCCCTCTGAAAATACCCGATGTCGTCTAAGGAATGGTAACTTGGTGTTTATTTTTCCAGACGTGTCCCTTAGGAAAATCGGTTGCTCTAGACTGATAACTTCCGGAACACGCAGCGGTGTCCAGGGCCCCCGAGGCCCTGTAGCATAGTCTTGCCTGCCGTCCGCTCAGCGGGCCGCTGCCCGGTGTGGAAGGAGAAACGCGCGTCTCCGTACACACGCCCCATTCCGTGTCTGCACATAGTGAAGGGCCGTCCTCGGGGAGTGTCTTCTCCAGAATCTTCTCCCCAGCTGCACATGCCTTCTTTCTCAGCTCTCAGCGCTAGTCAGGTTTGAAAAAGATGACTCTGCTTGAAATCTTGGGGTCACTCATGCCTGTGAACCTTTAGTTCCTTAGGATTGTGTGCTTAGTGGTAGGCAAGGCTGGCCTGCCCCACGCGCTTCTTGGGAGAGTCTCTCACACAGCCCAGGTGTCGGACACACACGGCCCTCTCCTGGGTGCGAGGCTGAGGCTGGGGAAATCATCCGTTTGAAACCACAGAAACTGCAATTTCATATGAGTCAGCTGAATAGTGTGACATCGGTGTTAAGAGCCAAGCTCCAGACCCTTTCACTTTCCGGGGACCTTGGCACGGGACTGAAATGTCTGCATGTCCCCTCTTCTGTGTCCGCGGCAAAGCCAGAGCCTGCCCCCCGCACCCTCAGCCGCTGTTGAGGGGGAGAAGGACATGACCTGCGGGCAGACGGGAGGGCTCTCCAGAAGCGTCTGCGCCCTCTGTTGTGACCAGCCTGGTTGGTGGTGTTTGTGGTCATGTCTGTCACTGACGTGGACAGTTTGACCGAGCAGAGGGTAACTCGCTGTCGTGCAGCAGGAATGCACCGGCCTGTTCCGTGTCCAGAACACAGCTCTGCCGCCAGATCAGCGAGACAGAGTCAAGGGGCCCGGAGCCCTCTGTGTTGCCTGGGTGCCCAGACGAGAGGAAGTTAGCTGAGAGTCTGACTCAGACCAGTGCTTTCAGCAGCCTGTGTGCCTCGGACGGTGGTGAGCAAGGCCACATCTTTCACCTTGATGCCCGTCGTGTTTGCGTTGGGTGGAAAATTGCTGTTTTTACCGACGGACACTTTGTTTTAATACTTGGTTCATTTATGGGAACTGATCTTCCTTCGTTCCTAGTGATGCCTTCTCCTTTCTGCAAGTGGGAAATTTACTAACTTTTTTTTTTTAAGATTTTATTTATTTGACAGAGACCACAAGCAGGCAGAGAGGCAGGCAGAGAGAGAGGGGGAAGCAGGCTCCACAGAGAGCCCGACGCGGGGCTCGATCCCGGGACCCTGGGATCATGACCTGAGCTGAAGGCAGAGGCTTTAACCCACTAAGCCACCCAGGCACCCCACTTTACTAATTTTTAAGATAATTTTCGAAGGAGTGATGTGCACCTAAGAGGAAATGCAGAGGTTAATTTTAAGTGGGGAAGTTTGTTTATAAATGCTGTAGGTAAAGGTATTTCCAGTTAGGGTGGGAGACAGAGGATGGCATAAACAGCACTGTCAACATTCTCTCCTTCAGACGCTGGCTGTGCGTGAACTGGGGGTAGACTGTTAGGTCCTGGAGTTACTCGCCCCCCACACTTGCACATGTAGACACAGATCTGCGTATGTTTGCGTGACATTTGCTATTTAAAATAGCGTACTCATGTTTATTTCACCAAGAAGACGACCGGTCTTTCCCATTCTCTTTCTCTAGAAGGCCAGCAGTGATACCAGTCAGAGTGACACGAGCGTCTCCTCATCAGAACCAAAGAGCAGAAGCAGCCTCCACTTGCTGGCCCACGAAACCAAAATTGGATCTTTCTTAAGTAACAAAAGTCTAGATGTCAAAGACAAAGCCGGTCTTTGTCCAGACGAAGATGATATGGAAGGGGATTCTTTCTTCGACGATCCCATTCCTAAACCGGAAAAAACTTACGGTTGGTGAGTAAACTGTGCTTTTGGATTAGCAAAGTAGAGGCTTAAAAATACAGTTTCTTAATATTTTATATTTTAAAAATGAGCTACTAAAGCTTCTGTAATTATGGAATAAGTAAGTCTCATTTTCTGTCCTTAGAGACTTTTATGTTGTGAAACAATTCCAGCTGGGGAAAAAACTAGATAATCAGGATTTCTGGAGGGAAGTGTAGACTGAGCGGGCCCATCATGTGCCAGGTGCGTTCAGGCGCGGCCCGGCACGGGCGGAGCACGGGTAGAGCCCCGCCTCCGGAAGCTTGCACTCTGTGGACAGAGGCAACGAGAACGAGAGCCCCCGCATGCTGTGGGGTGGGTGCGGCTGGAGCGACAGGCCCGGGGGTGGGGGGCTGGGGGCGAGGTCAGGGATCAGGTCAGGGAGTGCCTCCCTTCTAGGGGCTAGTGGAGCCAAGAGCCCAAGTTCGAGAGAGAGGCAGCCAGGACGACAGTGAAGCTCTGGGAGGGCGAGCAGCAGGTCGGAGCGCGGCTGGGGCGGTTGTGGGAATGGGCTCTGGTGGGGACGGCGTTGGCTCTGGCAGGAGCATGGCTGTGCCCTGCGGGGATGCTGGGAGCCCCAGCGTCTGAGCCGCACAGTGACCAGCTCACTGGGCTGCTGGGTCTCCAGCAGTTGTCAGCCTTCTCTGGGTGAGTGTTGATGACAAAAGTGGTGAGAAACAGGTGGTTTGGGGATGTCTTCTGAGGTTCAATCCAAAAGGATTTGTTGCTAAGTGTTGGAGAATAAAGTGACATCAAGGGCAGCTCAGGGTTTTCAGCCGAGTGACCAGACGGTGGGAAACAGCGCTGTAGGTGAAGGGTGGAGAGCGAGGAGGGGCTGCGCAGTGGGCCAAGGGACAGACTAGAACGCACGTCTCATGGGTCGGGGTAGGAAGGTTGCTGACGCAGAGGTGAAGCCGGCTGTGGGGCGGGGGGAGGGGTCCAGGGATGAGGGGAGAAGTCCCCGTGTTTGATCCTATTGCCCGAAAAACCCAGGGTGGTCACCTGGGAGGTGAGCGGCCCCTGGAGGTGAGCGAGGGGGAGGAGGAGGAAGGAAAGGGACGAGAGGAGAGGAGTTCTGGAAGGGGGAGGCCAGAGTGAGACCTTGAGCTAAGTTCTGAAAGTCAGCCATGTCACATAGCAGCCTGGAGGCAAGGATGATGGGATCGTGGGTTGGGGTGGGGAGAAGGGGACAAGGTAGCAAAGTATTAGAGAGGCATCGGGAAAGGCCGGGGGGCATTGTCGTGGTGAGTGCCTTCCTGGTGGGTGTGCTGTTCAGGGCTGTGGAGGAGCAGCGCGGAGGAAACCGCAGTGCGCGCGTCCGCTGAGAACGGTCCGGCCTTCGAGGAGAGGGGGTGATGTGCGGGGGTGGGGAGACTTTGGCCCCTGGTGCTATGTGTAGGGGTGCAGGGTGCCCCCTTGCTGAGGCTGTCTGTGGCAAGGAGGGAGCATGTGGGCGCACTTACGGGCGGGTGGGGGCGAGGTGTGTGGCAGCAGCCTGGGAAGGTTCCCGCCTGAGTGGGGGGTGCAGGGCAGGAGGCAGGAAGTGGCGGCAGGGGATGTGCAGGAGGGCGGAGCACAGGGCTGCTGGGGAGGTCGGCTGGTGGGGCTGCGGTGCCTTTTGCCCATGACACAGTTGTGCCGGTCACCTCCCGTGCTGACCCTTGCCCGCATTGCCGGGCCCTGGAAGGGGCTCCCAGTACAAACCACGGACACGGAGACCACGAACGGCAGTGCAGTCGGAGAGCGAGCCGCGCCTCACCGGTAGCTTGGCCGTGGACTCGTGAAGCTGCTCAGCCTGCCTCGCCTCGCGGGCGTCCGTGCTGGTTTTGAGTCTGCGACGCGGGCGGCCGTCCGTCCAGCGCTGCGCGTACGTGCTCTTGCGGTGCTGGTGTCCTAGTGGCGGAGCGTAAGCGCGGCCTCTAACCGTGCGCTTGTTTCTCGTTAGGAGAAGTGAAGCTGGTGAGCACGCAGGAAGCCTCGCCTCGCTCTCCGACGCGCCCCCCTTGAAGAGTGGACTCAGCTCGCTCGCCGGAGCGCCCTCGTTGAAGGACTCTGAGAGTGAGTGCCTGGGAGCCCCAGGCCTCCTTGCCGGAGACGCGGACCGGGAGGGCTCAGGACGTGCTTTCTCGTGGTTGACGAAGTACCACGTGGTCGTCTGTTGTGCAGAAGGAGCCCATAATTTGACCAGCGATGGTCCTTTTCATCACTTTCCAAAACGGTCGTGTTTGCTTCGTTTTGTGTTGTGTTTCCTGTGCCATCAAAATACCTTTAGGAAACTGACTTTTTAGCTGCCTTACAGTAAACATTTCTAAGTCATTTCTCTCTTGTTGGACATTTAGACTGATGTCCGTAGGATTTAAATTCAGTTTTTAAGAGTTTGTTTTCTAGAGTCCGTGATACCACAGTAATGTAGTATCATTCATAGGAATATTCAAATACTTGGTCTTCAGTGATGTGCGTCCGACGTCTTTTTTTTTTCCTACTTTGGTTATTGGCATCACTTTCTTCTCTCTGTGTGTGTGTGTGTGTGTGTGTGTGTCTGTGAATTTTTAGATTTACTTTTTTCACCATGATGAGCGGTTTCTAATCCCCATCACCTGCTTCCCACGTTCCAGTCACACGGCATTTGTCTTTGTCCGACGTACTTTGCTCAGCCTCCTACTCTAGCTCTCTCTGTTGCATACAGTTAAGGTTTCATTGTTTGGAGTGTGGCTCTGTCGTATGTGTTCGCGTGCAGCAGAGAGGTGTGGTGTCAGGCAGACGTGGAACGGCCGTTCCTGCCCCTCCCTGCACGCAGACGGCAGCAAGACAGCAGGACTCGCAGGCACAGCCTGAAACACGGACGTGTGTGGGCGAACCTCATTTACGGTGTCAGAGCGAATGTATTTCCTCGACAGTGTGTCCAGGGTATAAATGTGCCCCTTTTGAGAACATTTTCTAAAAAGCACACCTTTATTAGGAAATCGTGGTGTGGTTTTGCATAATTTTCCAGTATTTCCTAACTTTCTCGTATCCTGTTTTGGGATGGTAGGATTTGCCGGGACAGGCAAAGGAGGTGACGTGTGGCTGCCTTTAGCCATCTGGCAACCTCGCCGAGTGTTTGCCAGTGCGCCCCATCAGTTTCCCTCTCGTGCTTTCTCCCGCTCTTCGTCACCTGCAACGGGAGTCCAGCTCGGCACGATCACACACTCTTAACGCTGGTCAGGGACTGTACACGTAGACAGGACAGTGAGCACTTGGGACTGAAAAAGCATAACCAGTGAGGTCAGTTCGGTAAATAGAAAAACAATTAAATTAAAGCAACATTGAGAAGTTCAGAGGAGAGTAAAATTGGTGAGGTAATGAACTCCTGCCCGGCAAGGCTTGTTGTGGACGGTGGCGCGGGACAGTCTGGTGGTCAGGTGCCGGTGACAACTGGTGTTGCGTGTGGGGAACAAGGGCCTGCAGGGCTTGACGTCAGCATCGCTCATCAGAGCCTGTAATTCTTTCTTGGTGTTTGGTTTGGACGTTTGACTCATAAACCCTCGGCTGAAGAGAAATGACGCGGTTTAGAGATTGTTGTGTTCTAAAAGTCCATTTAATGTGAATATTTTTCCTTCACAGGTAAACGAGGAAGCACAGTTTTAAAAGATCTGAAATTGGTCAGTGATAAAATTGGATCACTTGGATTAGGTAACTAGATTTCTAATTTTAGCACTGATTGCCTGAGGGCTATCATTTTTAGAATAAAATCACAATTGAAATGGCTTAGCCTGTAGTGAGCGCTTGGCGATGGGATGTTTGGGTGGTCTTTGTGAATCTCGGGTTTCTCCGTGTGCCGGGCCTGGGGAGAGCAGCAGCCCCGCAGACCTTCCCTGTGGAGCTCGGGTTCTGGTGGGGACGACCTGCATCAGACGGGTGCCTACGGATGCCTGGGGTTTTGAGAGTCCATACGCACTGGTGTGAAAGTGGGTGGTAGGGGGCCTTACCCTGGCCTAGGCTTTCTGGAAAGGCCTCATCTAGGAAGTAACTTCTCTGCCAACACCTGTGGGGCAGGGCCAAGGGGAGAGGTTTCAGCTCAGATCAATGACGGATTGTGCAAAGGCAGTCCCCTTTTTATTTTTAAAGATTTATTTGAGAGTGTATGTGAGTGGTGGGAGGCCTGGAGGGGTAAGGAGAGACTCTCAAGCAGGCCCGTCCTGAGTGTGCAGCCGGATGTGGGACTCCATCCTGCGACCCTGAGAACAGGAGCCGAGAGTCAGACCCGCAGCCACCGCCGCACCAGGCGCGCCCTCCCCAGTGCAGTTGTCCCTGTAGGGCTTAGATGTTACGCAAGTAGAAATCACACGTCACTTCCCTGTTCTCTTCCACTCCTCTCTCCCACTTTGCATTTTGGCTAAAGTCTGGAGCATGACCTGCCAGGCCCTTGGTGGCCCCCACCAGCCCTTCTACTCGCCCGTAGTCTTGTCTCCGCTCTCTATCCGCAGACGCACTCTATGGAGGATGTATCGACTTCCTCACCGTTTCCCAGATTACTGCCCCCTTCCTGTCTCTGGGCCTTTGCGTGTGTTTCTTCTTGGAGCTCACTTTCCCCCATAATTTGTACGTCTGGTACCTTCTGTAGGTTTCCCCTCAGAAAGTTCTCTCCAGCCTCTGGTTTGTCTGGCTGTTGGTTGCCTCTTTCTTTCCACTGGGGGGGTTGGCTCCTTGAGGCTAGGAACACCCCTTACTCATGGTTGTACCTCAGGGGCCCTGGGAGTCGCACACGTATCTGACAAATGGATTAAGTGATGATGGCGTTAGTGGGAGAGGATCGTCTTGTCTCGCTAGCCGCGAGCTTGAACCCCTCAGTGGTGCGTCCGTGTAGATGCCGTCGGGTCTGGCGCTTGGAGGGACTCAGGAGCACCCACACCAGTGCCCCCCAAGCCCAGCTGGCTGCCGAGCTGGCCGCCTCCTCCTGGTCTGCCCCCTGCCTTGGGCGGCCGCACCATGCCCATGTGTTTCCCACGTGCCGGGCGTCCCTGGGCAGGATGGCTCTTGTGGGCCTCTGTGTTTTCACCTCGAGGTTCACGTCTGCTTTCCTCACGTGTCCCTCAGGCGATTTGGAGGGAGGAGGGGGGTTTGCAAGGCGTAGAGGTGCTCGCGCTGCCTTCCGCTGCGGGACGCTGCTCTGTCCCATCTGCGGCCTCCGCGTCCCGCTGCCTCCTGCGGAGGGCAGGCTGCGTCGCAGGGTGTGGGCCCAGCACTGCGCCTGCTGGATCCTGACTCCAGCCCGGGTCTGGTGTGGGTTTGGCCATCATCACAGCCAAGGAAACAGCCGAGGAGGGTTACCTAGTTCGCCCGCGGGCCGAGAGCACCTCGCAGCCGGAGCCGGGATTTGAAGCCCATTGAGTCTCGCAGAGGTGCTCCCGTTCGCTTGGCTCTCCTGCCTCTTCACATTCGTGAGCCTTTAAACATTCTGCGAGCTGTGCGGAGTTGACAGTGTCGGTAACAGGGACGGCTGCGGGGCTCAGTCCGTGAAGCGTCTGCCTTCAGCTCAGGTCATGATCCCGGCGTCCTGGGGTCAAGTCCTCCATTGGGCTCCCTGCTCAGTGGGGCCTCTGCGTCTCCCTCTCCCAGCTGCTCCTGCTCTGTCCCTCCCTCACTTTCTCTCTCTCTCTGACAAAAAATCTTTAAAAGAAAAGTATAGCAGTTGTGATAACTTGCTTTTTTCATGAATATAATATCATTTAATCTGAAATGACTTTACAAATAGTAAACATACAATGGGATTAGATTTTGGGGGACTTGGAATAAAAGACCAGGTATTAACTACGTTTCATGACATTTTTATTATTCCCTAGGCACTTTATTTGGTCATTTGCTTTCGTATCGTGTATGGTTAAAAATAGTCTTTCTGATCCTGGCGACTTCTTTTTTAATGCTGCAATGTAATTCGTTAATGTAGTTTTTCCCGAAGGAAATGTGTGTGTGGTCGCAGGTAAGTTGTGGAGCACGTTGGTACGAATGTGATGTGTCTTTTCCTAAACTCGGCAGGGACCGGAGAGGACGACGACTACGCAGACGACTTCAACAGGTGAGAGAGCGGGCGGGCGGCCCATGCGTCGCGGGCAGTTTCTGACACGGCGCGCAACAGGTCTCCGTTCGTGCCCATGTTAGTGCGCTACACTCTCCCGTCCGTGCTGATCGCAGGTGGAGGAAGACAGTCCGTCCAGATCTGCACGCTGGGCTTGGAGGCCTGTCCTAGTGTGGCCGTAGAGTGAGCAGACGCGCTCCGTCCAGAAAGCTTGGGGCGAGTGGGTAAAGCTGAGGCCCCGGGAGGTGACGCAGAGCAGCTCCGAGGAGGCCAGTCACTGGGACCCACGTGCTTCCCCACGTCCAGTGGCGGCGGCGGGGGGGGTGGGGCACATGTAAGTTTTAAGAACGGGCCCCCCGGTTACTGTTCTGACGCAGATGGCGCCTCAGATCACCTTTTTACATATGTAGGGACAGTGTAATCCAACCAGGTGCCTGATAGCTTGGAAATAGTGTTTGCTACGGAGAGGATTAGAAATTTGAAGTTAGAGTCAGAATTTTTATGACGTTGACAGAGGTTCCCCCCCCCCCGCCGCAATTGGGAATTTATGTTTATTTTTTAACAGTAGTTAATAAGCATTTTTTGAGAAGTGGCATGACATAGTAGATAAAATATTAAAAATCTGGGTTTGCACCTTCCTGACCTCGTGTCCGTGTCCCCTCTGTGGGTCTTCGCTTCTCGCCTCGTAAAGTGATGCGCCTGTTTGTGGCTCATGAAGTTACTTTAAGGATCAAGTGAGACAATTCGTATGAAACTCATGAGACTGAGTATCGTTTTATTGTATTTTATGTAAATGTTTGTTTTCAACGTTCGTTCTTCTTTTCTTTCTCTCGAACTAGCACCAGCCATCGCTCAGAGAAAAGTGAGCTCAGTATTGGGGAAGAGATCGAGGAGGATCTTTCTGTGGAAATTGATGACCTCAACACCAGTGATAAAGTACGGTGCGGCCGTGGCCTGCGGAGCGCTGCTCGCGCCTGTGTCTCTTGCTGGGGGCGACTGTACAGGGTCAACAATTAAAGAAAGGCAATTGAAGGCTGTGACATGACCTTTCCTGGCCCAGGTTCTGGAGTCAGAACTGGCTACCTCAGCAGTGCAGTCAGCGGACGCGAGAGTCCTGTTTGGGGAAGGCAGGATAGAAATCGGTGCGTGGACGAGAGTGTGTGATCGAGGAGGCGGAGCGGCATCTCCGCCGGCGGGTCAGGGCTGGTGCAGAGGCCGGTGGGGACGGTACAGTGGATGCAGGCTCCATGGTTAGGGGTCCGTCCTGCAGAGCCACATTTGGCCTTTTTATTAGGCAGGCAGGGGCGTGTACTGAGATGTATGTCGGACAGGAGAGGTCAGGGAGCCTCTGAGCATCTCCCGTCGTGCCCACGGAAAGCTGTGGCCCGTTCGGGTGAGGGCCTCTTGGGCATCTCGGGTTAGAGGTTGCTGCAGCCCGGAGGTGAACGTCGCCTCCCAGCATGAGGAGGGAGTCCGTGCTTGTGGCCATCTGGGGATTAGCAGGCGAGAAGGCCTTTGAGAGAGGCAGCGTTTGCTGACAGACACCGCATGTCCGAGCCGGCACCGTCCCGGCCCGTGCTCAGCCGCGTACTGCGGTTCTTAGGCAAGCCTTGGCCTTGAGTCCCTGGCTGGTGTGTCTGTGAAGTGCAGGTGGGAATGTCTGCCTCCCAGGGTTGTGGGCAAGCTTGAGTCAGAACTCCTGACACGGGGTCGGCGTCCACGGTCTGCCTCCCACCTGGCCCCTCGTGCCCACCCGGAGACTGCCGCGCAGCCGGGCTGTGCCAGCACGCTGTGGTGGCGGTGGTAATGCAGTTTTGCTCTTAGCTCAGCCTTTGGGGAATTCTCACAGATTTCAAAATAGGGGGAAGAGGGAGAGGTGGAGGACTTCGGAATGTGAAGCAGTCTGTGCAGCGTAAGGTACTACTTCAGTTACAGCGGCGTGTTGTAAGGCTTATTTATGACTGTGCTTGCATTCTGAAACTGGCTCTCTTTTTCCTTTGAACCATGAAGCTTGATGACCTGACCCAGGACCTGACCGTGTCCCAGCTCAGTGACGTTGCCGATTATCTGGAGGATGTCGCGTAGACGACAAAGAAAGAAGGATTCTCATCAACAAAGGACAGAGGACTCTGATCACTTCCATTTTTTTTCCTCCAGACAATCACTCTTTGCTGGAATGTCTGCTCCCTGTTGGTGCCTTGTGTTTCAAGAAGACTGCAGAAATTTTTAAAAATTAAGTTTTCATTATACTAAACGAAAGCATCCTACTTGAGGCCATGTGTGGAAGATACACTGTTCTTAATTTGGTTTGGCTACACATTTGTCTGTGGAAGTTGATTACCGACAGCTCCGCTTCATTTCGAGGGGCGAACCCGGGAAACCATGAGTATTCTAGCTCCCTGAAAGGTCTCAGTAAAGCTGCAGGTGCACACAGCTCCGCGCGTGTGTGTGGCTTCAGCCAGCCAGGATCAAAGCATACGTGACCGTCGGTGGTGGTGCCCATGGTCGCAGAGTGGCATGAAGCTTATTAGCGGAAGTGAGAGGTGACACGTCTGCTTTATTTTGGATTTCCTTCCGTCTGGAAGGGTTGTTAGACCGTTAAGGTTATATTAAATACTCCTGTGTGCGCTAATGTTGCTTGTTTTGAAGAAATCTAGGGTCGTTAACGACTTTTAATCCACGAGTTGTCGCCAGCAATATCCGTGGTCACCTCCCCCGTCCACAGAAGAAGCTGTTGGTCCCAGACTGTCGTCTTTATCGTTGTAATTTACTGGGTGTAACGAGGCCTGGAAACTAATTCCAGAACGCATCTGGAAGCACCAAGCAGCGCTTCTCTTTCCGATCTGTGAGTCGATCGTATTAAAATCCGAATTGGACCTTAACAGTAGTAATGGCCTAAGACCATGTCCTGTGGGCTAAGCTTTGGGCACCGTCCGTGGCTTCCTCACAGCCCCGTAGGACAGAGTCGCCGCTGGCCCGTGGGCAGCCTCGTTCCCGCCGCGCTGCTGCCTGTGGGGTCGCTGGCTCTCGCCCCTGGGAGTGATGGAGGCGCGGTCCCCGGGCTGGACGTGAAGCTGTGATTGTGCGCCACGTTTGTATTTTTTATTTGAATTAAATTATGTTTGTTTTTATTAAAAGTCACCTTTATTAATAAAGAGTAAACTAGACCTACTTGACTGGTTCAGTGAGTGAGCAGACCTCGTGGTTCTAGTGCGGGTTTTTCAGTTGCTGCCTGCCTCGGTGTCACGGAGGCGCTTGCGGGTGCTCGTCTGTGAGGACCGCGATTATATAACATGACAGCGTGCTTGTGTAACGTCGAAGTGAACCCCAGCCGTGAGCGCCAAGAGGAAGTAGGACACAAAGTGGGCCCGCGCGGCCCGGGAGCGGCTCTGCCAGTCTGTCCTCACGCTGTGGCCTCCGACCTCAGTCCTGCCAGCGTGTGCGCGTGGTGTGTGTGCACGGCGCCGTGTGGAGATGTGATCTGTTGGAAAAGTCCCCTGCGTGCGGGTTGTGGAAAGCCTGTGTCTGGACGTCCTCGCTGTAAGCAGTCGCTTTCTCTAAAGCATCGCAGCTCCGCTCGGGGCCTCTGGCATGTGTCTAACGCCTGACGTACTGCCCGTGTTCTCTGATAGGAGCTGGGTCTCAGGGAAATGACCTGGAAGGGTATGTAGCAGGAGGTGCCTTTTAAACTTGTGGAAAACTTGGAACAGCAGCATCTGAAATCTGTCATTCTTCTGCTACGCAGGGAATCGGACCTTTGGATGACATCTGGGAGGACGGGCAAAAGGGCCAACGTGGGCCTCCTTCATGGGCCGCACGCCTAGTGATGTCAAGTAGTGTAGAATTCAGTGATGGAAAGTTCCATTTCCACCTGTGTGTAGGCTTGAGTGTGTAACTAGTATCTTCTCTTTGTTCAGAAATACATTTTGATGTACTAATCCATGAAATACATTTTCATGGTAAAACCTGGATTTTACTGTGGAATTTTTCAAGTATGAGCTGTCATTTTATTGAGGATGACTCAGAGGGAATAAAAAGCTTTTATTCTCTCCTGTTGGTGTTTGTGCCCCTGTTGTATCTCGTGGTGTGTGATGGGAATGCCGTGACCCGCCGTGGGCCTGCGGACACCGTCAGCGTCCCTGTCCCACCACAGCTCCTTGGGTCCACACGGAACCAGCACGCGCCACGCGCACTGCCACGGTGGGGCTGGCTTGCACGGTTTGCGTCTGCCGCTCCTTGTCTGCGCGGCCCTTCCAGAACCGCCAGGCTGGCTTGTTTTCCTCTTGTCCTCGGAGACACTCGGGCTGAGGGGACGCCCCACTGTGGTTGCTCTTCTTGTCACTGACATGGTCCGATCGTTGTCATAAGCTCTGTTAGAGCAGGGACTCTGTAGCGCCTGGGTATGCGCTCGGCACCTTGAGTAGCATCTGGATCTGTGTGCGTGTCGATGGGCTCTGCACGTGCCGGCGAGCGTGGCCGAGAAAGGGTTCTGGCAGGACAGCTGTCCCCGAGGATGGCGTTCCAGAGTTTGGGAATCGGCCATCCTGATGCGAGCTGGGGGAGGCCGCCAGGCTTCCATTCTGACAAGTGGTTCAGGGTTCAGGTCTGGCCGTCAGATGGGACCAGAGCTGATGGGGACAGCCTCCCCGAGGCAGCAGCTAGTGGTCCTGCCGTGGCTCGGTGTGGCTGTTGGCACAGGGAGCGGTGGAGGGGGCTCGCGGCAGCTGGACTGGCGCGCCCGTCGGGGACACGAAGGTGGCCAGGACACACGGCTTCTGGAGACCCGGCCCACGAGTCAGGTGCATGCCCTGTCTCGTGTGCTCTGCCCTGCCCCCCGCCCCCGACACGGGCGACATGGCTGGTCTCCTTCCTGGGATGGTGGTGCAGAGAGCACCATGCGGCGACCCGTGGGACCCACACGTGCTTCCACGGAGGAGCGTGAATAGCCGGAGGTCGAGATGCGCACATGCGCAGCCTCTGCTGGGGGAAGCCGTGCGGAGCCCGGGACAGTTAAATAAGTCCCATTCTCCTGCTGGGGAATCACGAGAACTTTGGTGCCTGAAAGAGGCCACTTTGAAAAACTGAGGAGAGGATGGTTGGGCTGGGTCTTCCGGTACAAGGGCCGGGTTGCAGGGTGCCCCCCACCAGCACTGATGCCTCCGAGATGGGGCTTCGCAAGCCGGCGGTGTGTGTGGTGTGTGACAGTGGGCGGACAGCGGACGCTGCTGGGACAGTGGGGTTGGGAGCCCTGGCGGCGGGGACAGGAGCCCCGCAGGGCTGGAGCAGGTGACACATGCCCTCACGTGCATCTTCTTGCCCGCGGAGCTGGTGCGTCTTGGTGAAATTGGGTGATTCTTAGTGTAAATAATGACTTGCAGGAATCTTGACAGGAAAGAGTGTGAGCTTGCCACGCCGGCTGCCGGCCAGGATGGAGCCAGGGCTGCGGCCTTAGCAGGGGAAGTGACTTTTGAACATAGAACTTCTATCCCGATGGCAAAGGAACTTTCCTGCCAACCAGGAATGGATCCCAGCGCGAGGTCGGGGGCCTGGTGTTTCCCACGTCCTCAGGGGCGGGCTGCTGGGTTTCTGCGGCTCCCCTTGAGGGGGCCGCGACGCTTGTCGGCAGTGGCCGTGCCCCACCGTGGCTGTCCCTGCGAAGACCCCCTGACCCTGTGCCCCCCGGGAATCGGGAGCCGGCTCGTGCCGTGGCCACTGCTGCTTTTCTCACTTGAGTTTGTCTTTTCCCCCACTTGAGTTGTTTTTAGCAATTTGTGCCATCCTCAGATTTGACGAAACTATTTCCCCACTAATGTTCAGTTTTCAAGCATTTATAGCTGCAGTGAAAGCCGACTTGGCTTTCTAGGTTGCCAGGCACTGGCTACCGATTTCCATCATCCTTATTTTCTTTGGGTCCTGCAAGCCCGTGTGACGGAGCGGTGGCCCTTCTGAGATGGACGATGTCTGGCGACTCAGCCCCTCCCCGTTAGAATGCGCAGCACTTCCCTCGCTGCTCTCTCCGTCCGTGTGGGATGCTGTTTTGGAGCTTCTCTGTCTTCTGTTTTACAAATTTCAGTGCAGAGAATGATCCCCTGTGCCAGCACACGGGGCCCCGAGCCGCTGGGCCGCGCATGTCTGCAGACCCTCACGCGCGCTGCCGCCTCCGCCTTGGAGGCACCGCCGTCGCCCGCCTCGCCGGCTCGCACCCGCTCCGCTTCCGGGGTTCATGTGGGAGGAAGCAGGTGTGCTCTGCACCCCCAGTGCGGCGGGCTCTCGTCACCTGTTTGCCTTTGCTCCCTGAACACCCTGTCCTGGGGCAAGTCTCAGCAACAGCTTCTCCAGAGGTTGGGGATGCCGGGCGCACACCTGCTCCGCAGGTCGCCCTGCTGTGGCCCCAGTGGTGGGGACCCGGGAGACACCTGTGCCGCTGTGCACTGGGCGCTGGAGTAGAGGCGTGCTGCCTGTCGGACCGCTGAGAAACCCACCGGAGGGAAGAGGGGAGGGAGGGAGGGAAGAAGGTCCCTCCCTGGGACCCCCGGGAGGAGGAGAAGAGCTTCCCACAGGACTGGCAGCACCATGATGTTTGACGTCTTTGAACTCGGCGCCCGGAAGCCCTGGTGGTGGGTGGGTCAGCCCAGGGCTGCCAGAAACACGGAGCAGCCGAGGGCGCATCTGAGAAGAAAGGGTGTCACACAGCTGGGAAGTGCCATCTGGGGGTCACAGCCACGGGGGGCAGGCAGTGGAGGGACCATCAGAAGCCACCACAGAGGGGAGCCCCAGTGATGACTGACTGGTGCTGAGTGCTCGTGGGCCGGCTAGCATTGCCACCGACAAGCACGTGCTCAGCAGTAACCTGGGAACCATCCTCACTCAGGCCAGAGTCCCAGGCCTTAGTGGGACCTGGATGGGCAGGGAAGGAGGGGAGAGCCTCGGGTGGTTGTTCACCTTCTGAGGAATTGCCGCTGCTCTCCCAGGGCCCGAGTCCCACGTCGCTTCCTCGCCAGGGCCGCCCCCAGAGGGACGCCTTGGTGACGGCACTTCCTCCCATCCCTGGTGGCAGCTGCAGAACTGGGAC